TGCTTGTGGGAAAAAGATGTATAACATATATATATATATACCAGAAATGAAGGAGTGGGAGGTAACTACAATTATTAATAAACGCATTTATATGTTGTATAAAAAGTCACAAAATTCTAAGAAATTCTGTCATTATATACATCATTGTTTTTCTAATTGAAATTAAAAAGCAGTCAAAATGACTTCCTTGGGCAATCTAGTGTTAAGCATTATAAATCTAAGAGATTTACGCAGTCAGAAATAGAAAAGGAGTATCATTAGTATGTTTTTTAAATGACAAAACTTTGAATCACCACACATAAAGGAAGGCGAGATAATGAAGTAAAGATAGGAAATTCAACAAATGGAAGAAATTAAACCTAGAAAATACATGTAATAAGGCTACCTACAAAACTCTTTACAATAAGCATGATTTCAAATGTCAGAGAGGTAAAGGAGGGAACTTCATCAATGAGACAAGAATAAGAAGTTTAAAAATTGACAGTTATGAAAACCCTAGTTAGAATTTCTAGGAATGAAAAAATGTAATTATGAACTTAATAGGCTGAAAGATCGCTTGTAGTAAAAGAAATATTAAAAAACATGGATAATTGATTCTGAAGTTCCACTGATAGCTATTAGAAATTCTAGGAAGAGAATAGAGAGCATGTAGGAAAGGAGTGTTTGAAATAATAATGGTTTAGAATTTCCACAATTAAAAAGAGTACTTCAAACTGATCATGATAAAACTTCAGAACAATTAGGTTAAATAAAGAAAAAAAGATTCTAAAAGCTCCTAATAAAAAAAGAACACCAGATTACCTACAAAGGAGCAATATGCTAATACTGGCTAAAATAAGATCATGGATCAGTAACTTCCTAGGCCAGTGGTCGGCAAACCCCGGCTCGAGAGCCATATGCGGCTCTTTGGCCGCTTGAGTGTGGTTCTTCCACAAAATACCACGTGCGGGCGCACACGTACAGTGCGATTGAAACTTCATGGCCCATGCGCAGAAGTCAGTTCTCTGAAAGGAGATAGACGAAACAAGTATACGAGACGAGTGTGGATGGGAGAGTTGGAAGGGGTCGACCTCAGCAAACATACCTCAATCGGATTGAGGACGTTTTTAGCAAAGGCCAGCTTAGGAGTACCCTAATTAAGTTAATAACAATGTACCTACCTACATAGTTTAAGTTTAAAAAACTTGGCTCTCAGAAGAAATTTCAATCGTTGTACTGTTGATATTTGGCTCTGTTGACTAATGAGTTTGCTGACCACTGTCCTAGGCTAATAAAAGTAACTGTCAACCTAGAAATTAATGCCCAGCCAACCTATTTATTACTTAACAAGGAGGGAGGGGGGGCGGATAAAAATGTCAGAGATGAAGGACTCAAAGATAAAAACTAAGGTGGGCTCTTGCTGAAATAATTTCTAAAGGACATACTTGAATTATACTCTAAAACTGAGTTTCAACCTTTTTTATCTCATGGCATACATAAACTAATTACTAAAATTTTGTAGCATACCAAAAAATATATTTCTTGCCAATCTGACTTAAAAAAAGTATAATTTTGATTCATTCACACGGGATGGCAACTGTTGTGTTGGCTGTTGTCATTTTTTTTTTTTATTTGACAGTCTAAGGCAGTGGTTCTCAACCTTCTGGCCCTTTAAATACGGTTCCTCATGTTGTGACCCAACCATAAAACTATTTCCGCTGCTACTTCATAACTGTAAGTGCTACTGTTATGAATCGTAATGTAAATATCTGATATACAGGATGGTCTTAGGCGACCCCTGTGAAAGGGTCGTTCGACCGCCAAAGGGGTTGCGACCCATAGGTTGAGAACCACTGGTCTAAGGGAAAAGAGGTCAGTGCCCCTGAGTAAATAGTCAGGTATTGCATGTTTTTAAAATTCTTGTAGCAGACTCATTGGAAATGGCTGCTCTAGAAGGATAACGTGGCTGTTGTGTGGAAAATAGCTGCTGAAGTGAGAAGGGAGTGTAATGGGAAGAATGGAAGCTCAAGACTGGAGGGTATTGTAGTAGTCCAGATGTGAAATGGTAGAGATGTGCTTTTTTATCCCTTCACTTTTAATGTATTGAGATATTTCTATTGTAAGTGTAACTCTTGTAAAGAGCACAACTTCATACAATTCAAAGTCCTTCCTGAGGTCTGAAGGACCTGATCTGCCCTTCCTAGACTACCTGTCTGACCTATGTGACTATCACTGTCCTTTGGCTCCCTGATCTACCCACACTGGCTGTGTTGCTCTTTGATAACACAAGCATTTTTCTACCTCAGGGATTTGTACTCAGTCATTTCATTCAAATCTTTGTTCAAATGTCATCTCCTACAGGAAACCCTTTATGATCCCCCCCGCCCCCATCTAGAATATCACTCTCATCAACATCTGGTTACTTCCCTTTTTCTTTATAGTACTTAAAGCTGTCTGACAAAATATTTACAAATACATTGATTTATTGCCTGTCTCACTAGAATGTAAGCTACTTAAGGTCAAGTAATTGGTTTTATTTTCACTAAATTCCCTAGAATGGTGCATGGTAGGTATCTGGTTCATATTTGTTGGCTAGGTACTTAACATGACATATAATAACATTATTCCACTTTAAAGAAGAAACTGGAACATAACATTAAATAACTGGTCCAAATTCTTGCACTGGTAAGTGGTAGAGCTGGGATTCAATGAAATAAATACAAACAAAAATAAAACCACTAGGTGGTTGTGACGCACCAGCACAGCCAAGGGTGAACCTGAGGAGGGGTGGTGAAGGATTGAAGAAAAGACAGACAAGAATAAAGCTGGGGCTCGGTGGATCTCCCGTGCCTGGATGAGGACACGAAGACCCAGCCTACAAACCGATGCTTTATTTTATAGTCTGATTAGAACAAGGGTAGATTTACATGTATACAAATGTAACACTTGCTGCACCTCCCACAGCCCATTAGCTACTTAGGAAGGAATTAGGGAGGGCTACAAGGTCAGGCTTAATTATGCTAGGAGAGCTCTGCCCTCCAGGCTGGGACTTGTTTGTGGCCCTGCCACAGGTCGTCAGCCCAAGGTTTGGCCCTAGAGTTGCTCCCTACAGGTAGTATTGATAATATTGCCTAATATTGGTATGTCTTGTCTGCTTGCCTATAATATAAGCTCCCTGAAGATTGCATTACTTCTCTAGAGACTGTATGGCATATAGCAGATCCTAAGTAAAACATTTGTTGAATGAATAAATGAAATATGTTCATTGTAATAAAGGAAATGGAGTATCTTATCTAGCTTTGGTTTATTTACTTTTTATTTTTGTTTATCTTTGCAGTTTAGAGTGTTTATATCTTGGAGGAAACTTCATCAAAGAAATCCCGCCAGAATTAGCAAATCTGCCTTCTCTAAATTACTTGGTATTATGTGACAACAGAATTCAAAGTGTACCTCCTCAGCTTTCACAGTGAGTAGTTTCAAGCAGCTTATGTATACACTAGAGGCCTGGTACACGAAATTTGTGCACAGAGGGTAGTGGTGGAGGGGAGAGGATGCCTGCACCCTCTTGCAATCTGAGACCGCTGGCTCCTAACTGCTTGCCTACCTGCCTAATCACCTCTAACCACTCTGCCAGCCTGCTTGCCCCCAACTGGCCTTCTCAACCCCAACTTCCCCCCCTTGCTGGCCTGATTGCCCTCAACTGCTGCCCCCTCCAGCCTGCTTGCCCCCAACTAGCCCCCCGCCAGCCTGCTCGCCCC